TTTTTTTTTTTTTTTTTTTTTTTTTGCTAAGCAACTCTGAGTGGGACAAGCCAAGCTGCTAAGCTCAAACACACAGCCCTTACCTTGACGTCTGGTGGTTGTATATAAGCAAGTTGCCCTTGCTCGTGCCGATGGCCAGCTGCGGGCCAACCTTGGACCACAGCAGGAAGCACAGTGTGTCCTTGAAGCCGCTGTCCACCTGGCCAGTCCGGTGGGTGTTGGCATCCCACAAGAAGACCACGCTGCTCCGGTCACAGATCATGGCCAGAGTGTCACCGTCCTTGTCCCAGCCCAGGCCCGTGCATGTGCTGCAGGAAGGGGAAAAGTTCCAACTGATGACGGACCCTGACATGGAATGTCGTGGTAGACTGTGCGGTCTTGTTCACAGGGAATGTTTCTCTTGACTGAATGCATATAGCTGGATGTAATCACATTAGAATGAATTTGTCTGACACAACATAGGTCACAACAATGTGTGTTATTTTGCACCATGACCAAGATGATGCATTACAGTGAAAGATTTTGATTGAATACCTTGACTGTCAAGAAGTAAGCAGGATATCGTAAATTTCCTCAGTTCCACTGCCAGATATACAACAGCTAATCCTTACATCAATCAGAAAACAGCAAACTGCACCTCCATTATATGGACAGTATGACTGTTTTTAAAGAGGCAATGGTAGCGAGTTCTAATTCAATCTCACTGACTACTCACCCTGGGAGGCTGATTTCATCTTTGAGTTCCCCATGCCGATCATACAAATGGACTGAGTTGTTCAGACCTGTTGTGGCCAGGTAGTTGCCAAGTGTTGTCTGCCATGCAAACAGTATCTGGCCTAAGCCGTGGGTCTTCTCAGTAAGGGTGAAAACCCGCTGCAAAGAAAATAAAAGGGGAAGCTCCAGTGATCCACCGGACTAAAAGGGGGGAGTCTCAAACATGAACTTTAATTTACCATTTGGTGTTGTGTCTTATTACTTTTCATGATGCCATAAAGGCAACACTGTATTGTGAAAATCAATGTGCCGGTAATTACAAACAACGCAATTCAAGCAAGTCGGTGACTGAGTCACAAACATTTATCAAATAGAAGCCTGCTGGCACCCGCGTAAATACATACCAGTACAGTGAAATAGCGAGAAAAAATAGACTGGGTCGAACTCCCGTCCCCAATCCCAAAATAATAGTGACTCAGTCTCAATAACGCAATGTACAGAATCCAATGGTGCAGAATGCGTAATTCTGGGGTGCGACTTGTAACCAGTCTATGTATGAAAGTGGTCTGGTGCCACGTTTTTAGAATCACACAACTCAACTACGTTGATACAGTTGCTATACCATGTTGTATATGGGGCGATGCAAAACCAGTCCGTGAAAAAAATAGTGCTTGGTGCGGCTGGCCGGCCGTTGACAGAAACACTAGTGCTAAACGGTAACTTAAAAGTTAAATACAGCTTTAACCCTAACAGTCCTCAATCCTCCACCTGTTAGAGGACTGAGGACTGTTAGGGTTAAAATACATGTAGGTGCTAGTGGTCGTTTAAGAAGGGCACGTCAGCCAAGTGGCCAAAAAGGAAGTGCTATTTTTAAAGGTCATCACAGTGATTCACTGGGGCATTGCGGCAGTGGCCGCTGGTGACCGCTGTAAAGATCGAAGCCTGTGCTAGACTGATAATACAGAGATAGACCAATTGCACAGATAGACTGATCGCACCCAACACAGTCACTTTTAGACTATTAACCTCATTCCCCACAAACAACACTTCTGTAGATCCTAAGTTTCACTGACATCTTGACTTCAGTCTTTACTTTGAACAGCTTCTTTGCTACCAAACAACTGAAACTCATTTTATATGTTTTGTGACAAAATACATGTATGTACATAAAAAAGAAAAAGGGGCACATTCCACCAGACTCAAAATAATACCTCTTCACTTTTTCTTTGAAAGTGACAGAATAAAAATTGAGTGACTGGAGAGAATTCTGTATTGGATCATCAAAATTTTTGAGTGCCATAAATACCAACAAAATTTAAGGCCTCTTGTACCTAACAACTACATTTATGAGGCTTTTATATTCAATATTCATTCATTTATAAAGCACAAATTTCACACAGATATGTTCAAATGCCCTGTACAATGAAGATGGGTGAGCCAATGGCTAACAAGGGCACCTCAGCAGCCGCCAAATGACCCTCTTACAAATAAAGGGGAGACAATTAAAAGCAGGGAGGGACTGAAAACCCAATCTACATGTAAACCGAACTAGGAATCAAAGAGGTGAAAGGTTGGGAAAGAACTTCTTTGCCAACCTGACTCCCCAAGGTTTTTCATTATGGAAAGACGGAATAACCCCAAAGTTCTACAGAAAGGATACGCTCTGGAGTCTTTAAATTTTAATGTTCATGAAACTTGAAATTGCAATGGCCTTACACAGAATTCTTGCCAAACTGTTTAGTTTCATTCAAAGTCAATGAAAATACCGCTGCAGCATCCTTACTCAAAATGTGAGGTAGCAAAATATTTATAAATTCATAGGCCTAACAGTCATCATCTAATTCTTAAATTCATAGATACTATACTTTACAGACAAAACAATGCTGCATAATATTTAATGTATAAAAAATGGGAAAGAGTCTCATATGCGGAAAACACTTGATACCCATGTGCACAAACCAGTAGGCCCCAGGCTAGTACTATAACAGCTTCTCTGTCATACATATGTTCAGGCTGTGTAGACAGGAGCCAAAGAAATTGTGAATAGACTGTATTCGCTGCGTCCCCAATTTCAGTCATATTCCCCAACGTAGTGTATTTATTGGAAAACATTAAATTCATAGAACCAGACTATATTCTACAGTTTCATTCCGACCCCCCAAAATCACCTGGTACCATCCCATTAGAGGCTTAAAATGTATACTGTACATTCAGGAATACGACTGAAGTTTGGGATTCCACAATTAGGGTCTATTAACAACAGAAATACAGACATAAATCGACTGGTTTGTTTACATAGGGCCTAAGTGATCAACCCTTGAAAACCATCTTGCCAACCCCCTAGCATGGCTTTAATACTAAGGTCCTCCAACACACACTAGCAAACAGTCCCATAGTTTGATGAGTGTTTTCTAAGTAAGCCTAGGGCCTAATGCTTCGGAATTTTCTAAACTACATTTTACTTTTTAGGACAAAATGCTAATTTCATTTTTTTTCAAATATGATGCTATCATCGATGGTGTCGGAAATGCGTGCCTAACTAATGCACTAATCATTCCATAAAATGCCATTTCACGGTTGTTTACCGTTGCTAGAGAGCAATGTTGGGGAGATAGATTCATCTGGAAAACCCTGCCAAGTCACAACATACATGTATTTACTGTTCTTTCAGCCGAAGAGAGCTGAGGAAGCTAGAGACCATTTGCTTCAAAACCTACCTTCATAGTGGAATTACAACAGCTTTTTTTTATCAGTGAAAACAAAACGGGTCGTTGACACTTAACTTCACGGAATTCGGCCCGCTGCAAGTATGTGCATTCCCATCATGCATTGCGAGTATCTCACTCAATGTGGGCGGGGTACTGGGCTCATCAAGGTGTGGGAGTCATTCTTTTTTCTTTTCTTTTTTATTCAGGTTTAAACAAACTAGACTGGCCCTCATACATCATTAACTGTGTATTCACGTTCTTTTCACACGAGGACAGGGTCGCCCTTTGAGCGAGCAGAGTCATCCTGTCGGACCTCTCTCGTAATCCATTTATATTTTAAGGGTAGTAGATTACAGAAAAGTTAACCAAATTCGTATGAGAATGACAGTAACATACAACTTGATCATGCGGTTGCTTCTTCAGATACTCTTGTGATACTCGCTAGTGACGTGAATTCATACTAGTGAGTGCAAGGGCAGATGCGAGGGGTAGTGAGGGTCATGGGCCTGAGAAAGGAAAAACAATGAGGGTGAAGCTTTTTGTTGAAAAAGGATAATTCCCTTCATTCGAAAAGCGGGTAAAAGGCCCCTAAATGTAGCCTCACCCCTCAGAAAGGTCATACAAGGTTACACTGGCAAAAAAAAATTAGTTCTTTACCCTCCCAAAAAAACAAGTTTCCCCCCCCCCCTCAAAAATTTGGTTCTGGATATGGATCCACCTTTAGGGGAACGGTGAGTGGGGTATGGCACGGGGTATAGTAGGGCAGGGCACATGCGGTGATCGTGATGAGAAAAGTCCTCCCGTGCTTACACGGCGCTTTGAACATTTTGGCACACTTTGTTCTTCGTTTTCGTCGCTGTCTTGGAAAATCCGGCTTGGGGCTGTTGCAACAAATAACCCCCCCCATACAATTTCTATCTCTCATCATGGCACAGTGATGTGAGAGACTAACCAAATGGCCCAACCCCTTACCACAAAGATAGGGTATACATTATAACCTATCCCCCTCGATTTACGCACACACTTGCCTGCTCTACACCTACACCAACCGTGAATAAAATACATGCACATTAAAATGAATAACAGAGTCACAGGCTACAGGCGATGTACATATACTATCTACTGGATGCTGTGTTGAATTTTCAGTGAAAATTTAATTTGTATCCCTTGTCGGAGGCTGTATCGCCACTCTTACGTGTACCCGATTAACTGTGGACTCATTGCGTTCCTCCGGCGGGAGATATTTATTATGAGCATCTGTCTACCATAACCATCCATGTTTGTTTCACTTGATGGAACCCTTCTTGAAGCAAAATTCTATCTCACGGCTGTCGTCACCCATGATTACTGGAAAATGAAAGCTCAACATTCTGAAGTAAAAAATTAGCGACAGTAATTGAGTATTACTGAAACGAGTCTCGTTTTCATCACCCGATCGGGCGGAGTAAGGACCGCATGCATTGTGTGTCGTCGTGAAAAGCGCAGTCAGTCTCGTCAAAATATAGGTAGGTTCCTTAGGCACTCAGGGCTGTCTTCTTGTGATATAGTGGAATGAAGTACAGAGACAAGATATCACACATCAAGGGACTGGCAATCCCTGTGCTCTGTGTTATATATTTGTTTGTTTTGTTTTTGTTTTTGTTTTTTTTTTTTGGTTTTGTTTTTTCTTTTAATGGAGCTTTCAGTTACTCAGGCTATTTGCGCCAGTAACTACACGTTCATCATAACCTTTATTAAATCAGCGTCACTTTACAGAGATAAGAAGAAGGTCCAGTTTTAGAGGCAGGAGGAAACCGGAGTACCCGGAGAAAACCTGCGAGGGCGAGTATGGACTGGAAACCAAATGCACTTAAAGCCTGGGCCAAGCCGGGACTCGAACCGGGCCTCATTGGTGCAAAGCGAGGAAAGAACTGCTATGCCGACCCGCTCCCCCTGCTCTAAATTGAGTCACTTTTTTAAATGGGGGGGGCAAATCCCTAATGGTTGGTACATCGGTATACATGTAGACACAGGTGTTACAGGGCAAAGAGACCTAATTGTTGAGAAGGATTCTCATGGTTCAATAAAGTTCGGACAAAAGGGATGAAAAAATAATGAGGTCAATTATTAGTAAAAGTGACGCAGGTGCTGTCCATCAAGATTGCAGGATGCTGCATAGGCCTACACAACGTGCGCGCACAGGGATGGACTAAAATGCCTTCACGTGGAAGCTGCGTACGTATAGACTACCGAATCATTAAAAAAATCGCCCCTTCGCGAGTGGGCAAGAGACGTTGCCTTCCAAGAAATACGAAAAATAAAGAAAGGAGGGGGAAAAGAAGACGAAAGATGTTATTTGAAAACTGATCCGAACTTGTCCCTTTCCAGTCAATACCCCGAGAAAAATCGTGGCCAAGCCCATGCCTTGAGCCTGCATTTGAATGCACGTTGCAAATGTTCTCATTTCATTGAGAACATTTCATTGTTAATAAAATAGTTCGGATTGATTCTCTCTCACAACCAACGCGAACGAAAACAAATACTATTTCCCGGTACTAGTTTTTCATTAATGAGTGTGGCTCGGGCACAGATCGCCAGGTCAATTGGTGTTACATGTATTTACCCAAGGGAGCTTGTAAGGCGCGACGTACGTCAGCGCTTTAACCACAGATAGAGGAGGTCTTGGAGATTTTCCCAGAAGATTGAAGCTGCACGGTGAAAGATGCAGCAACGAAACGAAGAATGCGATTACATCGCATACCGGGGAGCCCGCAGAGATAGAAATCAGGTCACCCGTTCCATCAGATGATAGAAAACCATCAAAGTATAAATCCAATGAACAAGGTAAACCAGTGAAAAAAGGATCTGAATTGGGGGATAAGTCTGGATTGGAGCGTGAGTTTCAATAAGAAATTGACATTAAATTGTTCTACTACCTCTCAGCATATTAAGCATTTTGATAAACTGACGTTTTGCGTGGGCGATTTGCCTTGATGAAAGTTCTGTTAGGTACCGTTGCTGAAAGGGAAGGTTTGCTGATCCCGTCCAAGTGCATTCAAGACACGTCTGCCTTCAGCGTTTTGAGATGTTTTTCACTGTATTTCGAGTCCAGTTCGTGCGTTGAAGGGATTCGAAAGTTCTGAAATTACGTATACTATTACTCCGCAGGAAAATATCTTCTACCGGTATTGAGCATTTGGTTGAATTTGAGGGAAATTACTTCGGACCTTGGAAGCTAACACAGTCATCTGTCACAATGAAAGAGTTAAGATCATACGTTTCTAGTACGTGTTCGAGTGTACGCGTATTTAGGCTACCACAATATATTTCATGATTGTCTCATAATCTATATAGAATGCTGGGGCCAGAGAAGAACGATTCCCTGTCCAGCACCCCACCAAAGAGCTTGTTCAAAGGGAATAAACAAAAGAAACTGCAAATACATACTCCTAGACTTATATCATCGTCAGAAAATATGCAGTGGAAGGCATCCTTCATTTTCAGGCAGTTCAATCTGAAAACACGATTTTCCTGCAAAATGTTTATCTCATACCAGAGGAGTGTTACCAACAGTAGTTTACTCTTTGGTAAACGTGCCACGCTATAGATAATTATTACGGACAAATTCACTCCTTCCCCTTGAGATACAGGCGTGAGGTCTAAATGCATTTTAGTCCATTTATGAACACCTCACCTTTACTTGAGTCACCATCAGGCCATCGGCCTTCATGCATCGAGGATCCGCCCGTGTTGGCAGTGAGATGCCACAGCTTCGGACCGCCCGTAACCTTTGATCCCATCCCCGGCGAGCAGACGCAGCGTCCGGTGGGGAGAGAGCGGGGGACGCAGGGGATGGAGGAGTCCTTGGAACAGCGTTCTTCTTATCAGGAGAGACGGTTTTCGAGGTGGACGCCACCGAACCTGACGCTGAAGTCTTTGTGCTCCGGAATCTGAAGCGAGAGCTTGCCGACATGCTGCCTGGTCGCCCAGGCATCGATTATGGTCACGATCGCTTCGGCGGGCGTTTGCTCTCTGAATATGACCCAAAGAGCCGGCACTTAGATCACACCATTCAGCTTCCTCTCAAGCTTGGCCTGCAACTGACCTCTCCATTGCAAGGTCAACATTCATTTTTATACCTCAACTGCTCGTCATCAATTTTTCTCTTCTATAACTGTACTACCTCCACAAGGTCAAGGGTTTGGAAGCTGGACTGCTCGGCTCGCAAACTCAAAGTCACGATCAATACTCTTATCCGTCACTGCATCTGTTAAGATTCCGATGTCACCACGTCATGGACAGCCTGAGCAAAATTTATCTTCGAGTACCGCATACTCTCGTTGAAGCCGGAAGGCATTCAAGCACGTGTCTCGATCATTTCGCATTATTCTTCCACTGTAAATAAGTACTAACGCTCCTCCACTGCGGCATCGCTTCGCTGGTCAATTTCATCATCAATATTCAGCTGCAATCGTTAGCACATTGTATTTATGGCATTTGGGGAGTACCCGTCCGTTTCATTCAATATATTTCAGCCTTAGTGAGCCTCTTTCCCTCGAGATGCAGTTTCGTGCTGAAGGGGCACGAAATATTGGTGTTCTTTTTGCTTGAACAGAGGGAAACAATGATGACGACGAAATACTGGTCTCTTGAACCCTGCGCCAATAAAAATAATACGTAGCGCCGCGCAGCGCATGCTCGCTCAATGAATATGATCGCATGCATGCATGCGATCATACGCAAAGCTCAATATGACGTCAGCGGGCGGTGCAAATTAAGAGCCTGGGTCACCCACGGCACCTGCGGACATGACACACCACTGAACTGCATTTAATTCGAGCATACCACCGCGACGAACTTCCATCCTGGCCTTTGAGAACATTTTCTTATCGAAACAAATTGATGGAACTCATTTTGTTTTTCAACGTACGCTGACACAAATCTCATCAAAATCAAATCTTTCCAACAGCTTACAGGGAAGCTGTCAGGGGTTGGTTCGGCATCATTATAAAACTCTGTATTATTCTCTGAATAGTGTTCAAGATATCCGCCTTGAGCAGATCTAAGCACCCTCTCATCGATTCTCATCGCTTGAAAAGAGCCATGTTGGTCGGGAGTGTTCACCAGTTTTGCTGGTAGCAATGCTAACTTAACGCCTACATTTCATAACCGTTTGTGAACCAACGAAGTGCAGTTCTGACCCACGAAGCCTCCGTTGCTAGGAAAATTGTGTCCTCTCTTGGTCCAACTTGGGGTTCATATAATTAAAACTAGCTTGTTGAAAATGGTGTGTTTTCATGTGTTCAAAACATAACAAGATGAACGTGATACGAAGAATGTCCTACCCGTTGAGACTGATGTCAAAGTTCACTTTAAACAGAATGCGGAGGTGGTTACAATATTTCAGTCAATTAATACATTAAATGAAACACTTTCTGACTATTTACAGGACCGGTTTTCATCGATCAATCAGTGAAACTGGGAAGTTCAATCAACTAAGCGATATCAACGAATTTTCACAAGAATAACTACGTACTTTTATTAACAAGCGTTAGTTTTAACACCGAAGAAGAAATATGTTGCTATTCCTTCCTTAATGACTTTGAAAAAAGACCCAACTGAACCCAAACTTAAACAGCACTAACCTACTCTGATGGTCCATCATGGACCAGCGAAATCCATTTCACTCAATCCTAGCAGACGACGCCCCGTTGGTCGCAATGAAAACCCGAGAGGGCGCTTGTCAGGAAGCTGCGGCTCCGATTTGGGTCCAGAGTATTCTCAGGCAACAAAACTTTTGACCATGCGGACAAGATGGGTCGACGGATGTGGAAATTACTCATGCTCGTTTTCTTCATTTTGGTGGTCCTTTTAAACATTTTCGTGATTGGAATTTCACCGGAGGAGAAAATGTTTAACGACTTCATCATCAAGTATGGTAAAACGTACAAGAATGGGTCGATAGAATATCAAAAACGCTTTGGAATTTTTAAGGTAAATTGACCATCCTTGTTGACAGCGGATAATTGACAGATCCGTGATCCCTGATCATGTGATTACACAGCCCATGTGATTTTGCAGCGACAGGTCATGTTCACCGGTATACAGATGAGATTTTAAAATTTGTTTTTGGCACATCTGACCGTGTTTGCAGTGATCTTCGGAGCTGTGACTATGTAAATTGAAGTGAACAGTGAAGGCTCCACTGCCTGGTCATCACCACTACGTAGGCCTACAATTTTACAAACCGACATACATGCAGCCTACCCCCAAAATGACTATGATGATAATGTCACGTCTTCCTTTACCCTTCCCACAATGTCTTTCTACCATTGTGCAAAATCACTCATGCGGTATCAGCAATAAGAGTTATTGTTTACAAATTACAGTGTCATGTTTTAGATGAAGTGTCATCTTTTAGATGAATTGTGTTGAGTGTAAGATGCATAAACTTGGATAAGGATGAGAAAATTTCTATAGAAATTGGTCAATAATAGTTTGGCCAGCCCAACTGCAGCACTACAGTTGGGACTGTACTTGGGACACACACTACTGTTGGAACGTATTGCCAAACAACTTCCATTCAACATGTGGCATATCATTGAATTTGTGTACATGTACATGTATATGAACATGATTTACGGCTTGGGATAAAACTGAAATAACCTCAGGAAAGTTGTTCTTATGGCTTACCATAGTTTCAAAACTTATCATATTTACAAAACTCAGAATCATGGTGGCAATGGCTAGATACAGAACTCTTTCCTAAACTAAACATGCTAAAGCTAAAAGCCGGATGTAAATGCTCAGTACTATAATCTACCAAGAAATGGTACTTGAGATTAATTTTTAAAAAGATGTTTTGTGAGTCAAGTCATTTTTCTCCTAGTTTATGTTATAAATTTCTTATCAATGTTAAATTTTCAGCCAAGCAATATATGATAGGAAGGTTTCAAATGCGGGAAGATACGGATGCCAGTAATTATTCCCTACAGTGACCCATTAGCCATCAGAAAGCAAAAACATGTTCAGAAAAGTTCAATTTAGGAGGGAAAAAAACCAAGTCGTTCCTGAGAAAACACTTAGAATTTTCAGACCAGTCTTATAGGCTTGGTGCACGGGGTGTCAAGTAGCATCCATATATGGAACTCTTTCTTTCAAATTGATTGTCCACCTTCCTTGCCTGTCCATTACCAGCCACTCTATCACCCAAGTGTTTTGTCATGATTAGTGAGCTTTTTAACCGATAAAGATAAAAGGTGCAGGGCAACATAGTAAAATCTCTTATTGTTTGTTTGTACTTACTGGCTTTTGTTCTTTTTTCACATAAAACATTCTGCTTATGTGCACAAAACACAGGAAAGTCTGGCACGTCACAAATGGTTGAATTCCTATCGTACTGGCCCTCACGATGCCTTTTACGGGGTAACCCAGTTTGCTGACTTGACCCAGGAGGAGTTTGCATCCTCTTTGCTGGGTGGGAGGGCCAGACGACCAGCTTTTGTGTTGAGCAGACCCAAGTCAGACCATCAGGGGAAAGTCACAGAAACAGCCCAGCCGAATAAAGACATCCCCAAAAAGTATACTTTGTGAGTAGCCCTATCACTCCGGAATTCTCTGATTTTTCAGTGGAAGTTTCCATCTACTGTAAGAGTTTAAGAATAAGTAATGTATACCTGAACTTTTATTGTACATAGTTAACTTTCATTAAAAAGCAAGATTGCTGGGACAAGCTAAATGACATTGCCACATCCAAATACGTGTAATTTCAGAACAAAAGAATTCAAAAGATCAGGACCCTCAGAAGTTACTCTTTATGATAGTATGTTTGTTTCAACAGTGCTCATCTTGTGAAATAATTGTCATCTATGGAAATCAGAAAAATACCTACAATTGTGTTTACCATGTCCAAGTCCTGCGTCTTTCACCAATTTTTCCTACTATTGAAGATATATCACTTGCTGGCTGAAAATGTGTATTTCAATGCACACTGTGCATTTGTTAGCATTGCTGGTCATTCATCATCTGAACATTCCTTACTTCTATTGGGACTGCAGTAAAACACATTCCGAATTTGACTAATTATTTATGTAGTAATAAGTAATTCTCATCAAGAGGTGATTGTACTATAAATAGACTGTGTGTCCTTTATTAACTTGATCGGGAAAATATCTGATGAGATAATGATTTGATTCTTTTCTTCAGTCCAAACACTGCTTGTCTGTTCATTCTTTGCAGACAAGGGAGACACCCACCTGTGTTAACATCAGTCAAGAACCAAGGGACGGTAAGTTAAAGGAACCAGGAAATGAAGTTTTCTTAGAATCACTTTTTGTGTATTTCTGTAATGTTCTTCCTTGTATGAAGACTGTTTGACATCTTTTTTGAGTTACATGAACTGAATGGTGCACTTTTCCAAACATGAAAAAAATAGACCAAGCATTTCTGGACAAGTGAGGGCGCTTTTGCTTTGATGTAAATCCAGGAAGACATGGTTCAGGTTGCATGTTTTCATGTTCAAATTGTGAACCCCAAATTTGCTATCTTGGAACATTTCTGTAAAAAGGATTTTTGCTGGATTATTGCCATACTTACACAGCAATAAATTGCTAAAAAGAAAATAAGAAATTTTTCTGCACAAATCAGTGCAACATTGAGATTCAGTGCCTTGGATGACATCATAGTTTTCCTCATGAATATGCAAATATCATTAGCATAAAACCCCAAAAGCATCAAAATATGGGTTAAAATTGCAAAACAAAAATTTAAAATGTGGTTAATTGAAACCCAAAGATGCAATTTCAAGGGTTTTTAGTAAAATTTATAAAAATATTTCTATTCCCTTGTTCCTTTAAAGAAGCACAGCTACCCTGGCAGCGCTATACAAATATAATATGGTCTTAGGGTGCATAGTTGATGTTGACAAACTAATTCCTGAGGTAGACCCAAGGGAACTAGTTTGTCAACTTCCAATAGAGGCTTTGCGTGGTAGCCATCATTACAGGGCAGTGCTTTTGTTCAAAAGGGCATGTACAAAGGAGATTTACACGGTGTACCTGTGGAGATAAAGAACTACCCTGCAAGATGGCTACCATGCAAAGGCTCAATACCAAGGGGAGCTAATATCAACTATTCGAGCAAAATAAACCGTGTTGTTGTTTTACTGTACTTCATGCATATTCAGTTCACCGCTATGAAAGAAAACACATCCAGTCCATCATCACTGGACTCTCTCAACAGTTATGTATGCTGCGATTTTTTTACACGTGTAGCTAGGGGGATGTCCCCCTCTCCCATGTGTACTACACCTGTGCGATAGTTCCTCAATTGCTTTGTAAAGTGCATACACAGACAAACTAGCATGTGATTAACATCTGCACATGGGTATTTACTCTGTGTCTGAGCTTACCTGCGGGGTTGACAAACTGAGCAAATATTGCGGATGAGGCATGGTGGTGGATTTTCCAGTCAGAATTCAGCTCTGGATCATGAATATGTATGAGGCATAGTGATTTTACTTGTCAAAGCATTAGATGGGATAGTGCTTAGAAATCAAATGTACATGTACATTGATCAAACCACATTGGATTGTTTTTGCTTCCTATATGCATCACTTGTCTACACATCCGTTATCTACATGTAAATGCCTGCTGCACATTGACGATGCTTCTGCAGTGCGGAGGATGTTGGTAAGTGATTCAAGTATGTTGGAGTGTGGAGAGTCACTGTCCTCCAGTATCTCCTTAATGTCACACATGTGGCAGAGAAGGATATACATGTACTTTGCCTATTGTGAGCACCAACTTGAGTGTATTCAGGTGGGATGGAAGGGGTGGACAGAATTCTGCCATTCTGCCACCACCTGTTCAGTGTAGTAGTTTCAATTTGCAGCGTTTTATTTACTGATTGAGTTTTATTAACCCCTTCATCCGAACCAGAACTGTCCGCAGCGGTGGCTTTGTGTGAGCATTAGTGCATACCACACATACAGTCTATTCGCCATGCAGCTGCTGATTCAATGTGGGCCTGCTGCTGGACAGAGCTTTGCATACTGGGCATACCACAGCCCAGCAGTCATGGTCAGAAGAATTCCGACCGGAAGGGGTTAATAAGGCAGTGAGCAATACGACACAAAGAAAATGCTTCAAAATGATGGATACAGTAACAAAGACACCAAGAGAGAAATTCACAGTTAATAACAGTTACATTCTCTGAGGTTAGTCGGTCCACATATTCAGAGCGCTGTTTCTCTAAACACGGAGAACAACTCCCCCTGTCTTTCCTAGTCGAATTCAAGAGAATCATACAGCAGAGTGGTGAGCCTGATGATTTGAACCAAACCAAACCAACATAATCTGTCCACTGTATTCAGCAGAAATGATGCGTGGTGATTGAAATGACTGTCGAGGGAGGAAATGGCACACCGACCAGCTGTGTACATGCAGTACAATCAGGAATCTATTAAGAACTGTTGTGTTACAGTTTGACTAAACCAAGCCACGATTGGCGACCAAAATGTCCAAACACAAGTATGTTTGTGTATGTTGTGTATGTAGCGTGTGCACATAATACCCATTTGTGCAGGCCGCGGTGCTAGCTAGTCAATTTCTGCCCTTACAGGGTTCATCTTCCTCCCACCCCTTCTCCGTGTATCCGTTCAGGGCTTTCAGTATCGTGGAGTGCCTGGAGACCCAGCATGCCCTCAAGACCCGCACCCTGTATGACCTGAGCGCTCAGCAGGTCCTGGACTGCAACAACGTAGGCAGCGATCACGGCTGCAGTGGGGGCAACCTCTGCGAAACCCTGAAATGGCTTAACTCCACCAAGGAGAAGGTGGTCCTGGCAAAGGACTACCCTTACAAGCAGAAGTCAGAGTCTTGTGACATAGTGGCCATGTAAGACTTCTGTTGTGTTACATATCTGATTCCTTATCCTCTGAGGAAAATTTATCAACAGTTAAATACCATAACAGATACAAATTTGGAGCTAGAGTTAGAACTCTTTTTACCGTCTGAAGCGTCACAGGAACTGTAATAATTGGTCCAGTACACACTTAAATCCAAACTTCATAAACTTGCATTAATGTGCATTGTATGAATGGTTTTATGCTGCCACTGGAGGCAGGTCATTCTCTACCTCTGATTGGCAGTTGTTGTTTATGTATTTATATTGAATTCTCCTAAGTATTCTTAACCTTGAGACATACTATTGGTGGTAGGAAGCATTGTCTGTAAAGAAATTTGCTCACTAAGAATATGTGTGATCCACAATAGCACGCCTCCAAGATTTTGAAACATGTTTCCCAATCACAGTGTGCAAAATCTGTTGACCCTTTCCAAACGCGCATTGGTTGACAAATTGTGTGCATTGTGATTGGCCAATGCGTTGCAAACTCTTGGAGATGCACTATTGTAAAATGCCCGTATTGCTGTCTGGTTCCCTCATTCAGCACCCACTTCCTCATCTCACTGAAAGAAATGTAGGCTTACACCAAAAACTTCACATTTTCCTGTAATTTTTCCAACTCATTTTCACATATACATCTGTAAGCTAAAAAATTGAACACTTTTCCCCGAAACTCAGAAAGAATTAGGGTCTCTAAAGTTTATTTCCTTCTGAAAAACATTATGGTTGCCCTAAAAAACAGATCTCCTCTGTGGGGAGGGGGATCTGCAACTGTTTTGGGATGTAAAGAAATGCACAATTACAAAATATGTGTCAGTTGTAAATCTGTAAGGTTTCAAATTTTTTCTTGTTTTCAGATCGCATGGACTGGTGTATCTGAAAAATTATACTTGCCATCAGTGAGTATTCAGATTTTGTTTGTAGATATTTGCCAATTCCTTGTCAAACCTTGAGCCATTTGAGATTTGTTTTGAAGTCTAACTGCATGCAATTGTGGAAATTGTGTTAAAAAGGTAGTGTGAGTTCGTTTATTGTAAATACATCTAATCACAATGAGTTTCAATTTAAGACAAAAAAGTATGGAAGAGCATGGGTATGTACCAATTCGAGTTGGAGGGGAACTTGGCCAGCCCACCATTAGTCGGCTATGGCTTGAAATGACACCAGACTATATAGAAAGTAGCTGTAGCCACTGCCATAGGCACGTGTGTAAACATTAGCCACAGCTACGTAATCCAGACAAGTCCTCTTTTTCTTAACATATCCTAGGTACGCAGGCGAGGAGCAAGAGATGGTGTCCCTTATATACAGGCATGGCCCGTTGCTGGCAGCGATCGATGCAACATCGTTCCAGGACTACATGGGAGGAATTATCCAGCATCACTGTACGGCTCATTATGACAATCACGCTGTGCAGATTGTGGGCTACGACCAAACAGGTAAAGTGGATTTTATTGTTGAAATTCCTTGAATAGGTGAGAATGTCACCGTGGCTCACAGCTTCCCCCCCCCAAAAAAAACCCCCAGAATAGGAATGACGATGCTTAAAATTGTTAATTTCAGAGACTTGAGGGAAAAGCTGGAATCAGTTTCTGGAGGACATCCATAGAATCAAATGGGAATTCGAAACACAATGTTCCTGATGCCTTGAAACAGTTCAAGATGATATTTTTAGGGGAGGTAAACTGTTCCCGCAAAATCTCAGTGATAAATTCAGGAGCTAAGGAAGACGGCTCTTCCTCATCCTGCATCTCACCTCTACTGGTGATACATGTACTTTCCGTCATTGCTGCATCACTGAATGGCAGTCAAAAAATGCCTCAAAAGTTTAAAAAGTAATGGTGATATCACTCCATAATACTGTTGAACAAATGAACTGTGAGGTTCAGCCATCTCATCAAGAATGCAGTTAAATTCCAATAGAGGGTTTGCATGACTGTCATGTTGCAGGCCTGTGCTTTTATTCCACACGGTATGCACAAAGGAAGCTTCCCTTTAACAAAACTGCCCTGCAAGATAGCTAACATGCAAAGCCTCTGTTAAGAGTTACATCTTCACTGATCTCCAGCACTGTTTACACCACTCCTTCCATCACAACTCTGCGCATTACAGGTCCAATCCCTTTCTATATCGTCCGCAACTCCTGGGGTGCCACCTGGGGTCTGGGTGGATATCTTCACATCAAGATAGGCGGTAACCTGTGTGGCATTGCTAATGCTGTAGGAAGTGTGAATACCAACTGAGACGTGCTCCTGCCTTCAGACAAAAGTTGCGAAGACAAGGCAAGAAACTAAGCTTCTCATAAGACAGCAGTGCACCTTGGTATTGACCTATTAATTAAACAGCTACACTGATTTCTTGGAGAATGTGTACCACATAATTTAAAATAATGGATATTGCATCCCACGGACAAAAAGTTCCAATAAGAAACAACTCATGGAATTCTGCATGAATTGCTCATAAAATGGGTTTTCCATCTCAACAAATGCTCCATCTCTACAAGCACTGGAGGAGGATATTCCTCTCCTCTATGTGACCACTGCAACATACGCACTAAAACTACTATAGCCTTGGTCAAGGCGTTTGTCATTCGTCACAGTGAAGCGCACGGCAGCGTGCACCTGCCGCTTAAAATCAAGGCGAAGAGAAACCTCACGCAGTCTAAGAAATATGCACCAAGGCGTTTGTCCTGGCTGAACCAGGACGAATGCCTAGGCGCAACTGTCCATGGAAACTGTATTGGGCAGTGCTCATTATGCTGATGACAAGAGCCAATGTCTTCACCCTAACCTTCCCCAACCACACAGAATTAAACAATAGTAAAGTGTTTAATTCTGTGGGGATAGGTCTGGTAGGCCTATAACAGCTGGCTTTTGCATTCGGTTTGGCATACCTCAGAAAAACAAAGTCCAACTGCCTCTGTGCACAAAGTCCCATATGGGTGTTTAACTTTGTGTGAATGGGGAAGGTTAGGGCCAGCAACCCTTGGGGGGGTTAGGGTTAAGTACACTTTTGGATTGGTTCATTGCTACATACTAACCGCATAATTCAAGTTGGTCGTTAGGATAAAGGTTAACTGAACGCACACGTGGCTGTACATGTATATGGCAAGTCGATGATGTTGTTTTTGCCAGCTGATCAGAGTAACCGGAGATCGAGTTTGCCTTTGCCTTGCTTTTCTTTACTGATTGTGATTGATTTTTTTTCAAATGACAAGTACTATGGGCTCTGTATCTGGTCTGAGGTGCTCCGAGCAGACAGGTGCAGCCTGAAAAATAACAGATTTCCCATAGCCTGTTGGCAGATTCACAAAGACATCAAGACCCCGCAGAAAGTATTTGGCACGAAAATCACCCAAAATTAATTCATCTGCAGTGGAATTCAAGCAACAAAATGACTCGTCATGCTGCAGTCGTCTCATAAGCTGGTCCGCCATTAATTTTACATGGTTATCGTACATCCCAGTTCACGTTGATGCATTATGCATATGTATACTTAGCTGTGATTGGTCACTGTGCACTCATGGCATGCCTCCATCTATTCATACTCACATACGTACGCTAGAAATCTAGCACAAAAGTAAAGAAAAACATAAGCTTCCGTGGACGGTTGCACGAAGGCGTTCATCCTGGTTCAGCGGATTTGCACATTCCTTAAACCGCGTGAGGTCCCTCTTCGCCTTGATTTCGAGCAGCAGGTGTGCCAAAACTTCCATGACATCTGTGTGACCAGATTAATTAGCACTCAGCTTACAATATGCATATATTTCAGGAGTTACGGCACCAGTTAGTGTTCATTGTCAGTTTAATCCCTTACGGGCGTGAACTTCTGATGAAAGAATTAGTCTTTACAGTTTCAGTTACATCATAAGAAACTGAATAGAAAATGAAATCAACTTTTTTTTTAATTGTTTAAACTTGTGATTCTGAAATACTTTACCAGTATTCCACTTTTGAACAGTTCACGACAGTCTTCCTAGGTTTTCAATTAAATTGCAAGTATGCTATATAAGTGTATAATCTGGAAATATCTGGCAGTATTGAAGTGTATTTCTGGGAATATTTCTGGAAGTTGTAACTTGCAGTGTAGCATGATGGTAATGGAAAAGCATACAAGGATACTCTAGCTTTGTTTGTCTTGCTAGACACACAGCAATAAGTCCTCATCATCTACACAATGACTGTCATGATTTGGAAATAAACCTCAAAGAAAACATTTCAAAAAACTGCAAAACCTTTTTTTATTACACTGGTGCTGTCTTAAGTACTTCTTTCTGTCTTTATCTGCCGCTTACACATTCCCAGATTTCATGAAATGTTGTGTCTTCACAACATAGATATTTACATGATTATTGTCGCAGTCTGTAAAACAGCCATTTTTGCCCGTTTCCTTTACTCTCTCTAGAGTGCCATTTGATACACCTTTGGTCAATGTGAAAGATGTTTGGAAATGTTACGACTGGTCATTTAGTTTTGTTCCACAATAAATGATGACCAATTCTACAGTCTCCATAACGGATCCTCCTAAGTTATACAAATGTGTACAGTATTTTTATCAGTAGTTTTTCTCTTTCAGTACTGTCAGTCAGCATTGACGTGTATGTTTTGAAAAAAGATATTGTTTGAGGTAAAGTTCTTTTCTATTTTGATTCTTTTTAAGCCATTTATAATAACAGTGTGTAATCATAAAATGATTGACTCTTGCTTACCAGTATGCCAAGAATACATGTATATATGCAGAAATCTGTGTCACAATTGTTTTTAATACAAATGCATTTGAAATGCAAAACATGTAACCAAAATAAAAGGTGAATATACCATACAATTACAACGTACAGTGTAATAGTGATGTTTACTTCATGGATACCCAATACAATTTCCCCCTCCCCAACTTCTCAATACTCCCAAATCCACTGTCTCCTCCCATGTTGTCTCGGCACATAAGTGGAATATAATCTACTGACGAGCTAAACTGCTCAGAGGTATTTCACTATAAATGTACATACTTGAAACAATCTACAGCCAGTCAAGTGGACCTCTTCAAACCAGAGCGTTAAATATATGTCAGTTGGAGTCAGCATGCCTGACGCTGTACAGCAGAAAGGCTGTAAGGGTTTCAGCCTGCCTGTGGCATTTCTTTCTGGGTGTTCCTGAGCAGGACACTGGGCAGTAACCTTCCTTGCTAAGCAGTAAACTATGAGAAGACTGACTGTGATAACAATGATCACACATTTGATTAGCAATACAAGGTTAATGATATGTCAGTAGTGTATCCAGCTTCCAGGATGCAAACTGGAGATTTTTTTTTTTTAAAGGTTGTCCTTTTTTTCATCCCTACACAAATGTGACTTGGCACAACAAAATGAATGTCAAGTAGCATTCTGCTCTTTCCTATTTGAGGGTTCAAAGTCAAATATTGAAGTGGAGCTCAATTTTGGCAGTTTGTAATATTTGGAAAGAGTAACCCTTCTGTTTAATTCCAATTTTGTTAGCAGGATCAGATATTTAAAAATGTCATTTTCTCAGCAATTTTGATGATAGCATTATTCGTGCCAGGTCAGAAATGTTGAAACAATGTCAGAAAAAGAGACGCAAAGCTGCCAGAATATGCCACCTTGTCACCTCATACTTTTACCCCATGCACATGTACATACATGTACCATTGGAAAGCTCTCTTTCTGCTGATTTATAAAATACCAGTGTCTCAATTTTTGAAAATTCTGACTTTCAGCTCATTTTGTGATGACAGGTCACAAATTCTCTCCTGTTACAAAGAAAGTTTCTAGTACAGTTTGGTGCTTTCAGTTTTTCAAAAAAAAGTTATAAATAAATAAATAAAATTGAAATAAAGTGACATGTCCCACAGGGACCTCTATCTTTTCAACATGGAAAAAAGACATTTCCCAGAGATTAAGCTAGACAAATACAAAATGGTCATCAAACACTAAATATTTCATGCTATTACACTCTTTAAGAATACCCTTATTGAAAGAATACAAAAAGAGGACTTGCAAAATTACCTTGTATAAGAAAACATCAAAAGAAGTCCTTTAAACACAAACTGCAGTTTGTGTGAAATTAAGCACAGCAAAAATATATATTTACAAAAACCCAACCAATAGACTTCCAGTGTTATGGGATTAAGGTTTCTGTACGTGTTTCAGTACTTACATATAGCTGCTAGTCCGTTGGTGCTGAATGACAAATGAATAAAGTACATCTCCTGTTTCAAACAGTTTCATAGAGGTACAAGGGAATCTAAACTTCAGAACTGAATGTAAGCCTAAGGGCCAAGACCAGATCAGCCACAAACCCTGTGCTGTAAAAGAAGAAGTTAGCTGTGAGTTGGGCTTGAAGTCTCCAAACACTCCCCTGTCAGTCATATACATGTAGGTTGTGCGTAGCACTGCGTACTGCATAAAACCAAGGACAACTCTCTATGCTCTGGGATTTAGCGGAAATATAGGTACAGTAATAGGTACCAGTGCAGAGTGCGCCAGTCAAATCGGACACATTTTGATCAAAGCTGCCCTTTTGCTCACGCAGTGGTCAGTCTGGCAGATGCAAGCAGGGTCTTGAGGACGGGGTGGCATTTAATGCAGGGAATACTCAGAAAAACTGCAAGTAAATCCCAAATGAACTGCCTCTCTGTGGTATTCCGCAGAACAAGTCATTCATGGAGGAATTTTTTTCCCAATCAACCCTCACAGGGCTAAATCCTCCAATATCAGTATGATACACACATCCTAAGAAGACAGGGTTAAGCTTATGGGCATCATGTGTCAAGGTAGAGGTGCATTTTTATCAAAGCATCTACTACTACTTTTGGACGGCAAACTGCATGCTTATTCACAAGTATCTGGCCCTTTGGAGATATATCTAATCTACCAAAATCTGCACCATTTTCAACTGGAAACTGGCAAAAGGCACAAGACATTTCAACAGACCTAAAATATTGTGATGTCATGCTTTGTTCACCTGTACTTCCCCATAGGGGTGTGGTGGATCCTATCCCACTATAGGGAAAAGTGCACAAATGAACAACGTCATTATGTTACAAGTGTACTTTTGTAACAGTATTTACTGAAGCCTCTTTTAACGGGTATTCAAGTATGGAATGCACAGAGGATGTAGATCAAAATCTACTTAATGTGCATGGCTGGCAAATATTCCACATCATTTCATACATGCGGCAGAGCAAAATGCAAAGCTAGCTTATGAATATGTATGAGGTATGCATGGAGGAATTATTAGATTCTATTTACAACATGGCAATTCCTTAATTATCTGTCAAGTTAGGAAAACGTGCAACAAAAACTGCAACCTGTTATAGAGCGGCTCAAAGGTACACACTGACTTTTGGAGGCCATTTCCCAACCCGTAACCTTAATCTTTGATACAAATTTATGGTAATTCCTAACTGACTCAAATTCATTGAAAAGTACTAAAAAAACAAATTACAGGAAATGACCCTCCATTTCAGAAATTCACTGATTATTTAAGAAACAAAGACACTCACATATCAATGGTAGTACAAAAGGTAAAAAACTGTACAAATACTACAAAGCTTTTCAAGCCTACTTTATATCCAAACCTGCGATTTATATCCAGAAACACCACTCACCTGTTAACTAACTTTTGGGTAATTCTGTGATGTGAAAACAGCACCTTTTCCCGAAACAGCTTGCACCAAAACACACAGCACAAAAATATATATAAATTCAACAAAATAAATTCAACATTTTGGTTTTAGTTCTAAAAAGAGCCAGTAGAGCAATATTTGTAGGTTATGTACATACATTTATAATATGTCAACATATTTCACATGAATAAAAAGTCCACATCAAAACTTGATGTTCCATCATATTCCATCAGGTTCCATGTTCCAAAGAGCCTGTAATTCAACCCTCTAAGTGTGTCACCTGCAATGCATTCTATGCACAGAGAATCAGGCGATGCCTACATAGTCAGTTAATACCTGGAATTACAGACTGCACTAAAACTGAAGTCTTGCTTTGCAAAGGCTGAAGAAGAAATGTTTGTTCGTTCATGGCAAGTAGGCCTATGCTATTAAGTGACGTCGAGAAGCATTATATATGCCCCCTTACAAAAACAGGGTCGTGTCGGTGATTCTCTACATGAGTTGACCTTTAAACCTCGCGATCTGTCTCCACTAGAGCCGGAGGAATGTGGAGATTGCCCACGTTGCCGTTGATCTTGCCATACGGAATAGACAGACGGCGCTGCATGTCAGGCGTCAGGGCTGGAATGTACTTCCGAGGAAGGAGAAATGTGGACAGATTGAAAAGATCCACAAACACCTTGTAGCGATCACTGTGAAAAAAATTAAGAACAGAGTGACAGGAAGACATATGGCTTATGAAATCGGGGCTCGTGAAAATTTTTAAAATGTAGATGCCCTTGGGCAGGGGAGTCTTAAATCTGGTTGCCCGAATTTCATTTTCAGTTGCCCGACAAGGAAGTTTTTGCCCCACATGGTCTCCAAGCTTTTAGTAATTACAGTCGTTTTCCTCATTCCAGATCGCTTTAAATAAATACCCATCTTTTTTCTATTGCTCTGCAGCATTACGCGCTAAGACGACTTCTTTCGTTAAAGGTAAAATAAAAGTATTGCAGTACATATTTTGTTTCCAGAAAATTTCAAGAAATGGAATTTTGGCCAAATTTCCAATCTGCGCTTCAATGTTTGTTGACGGTTTGTCAAAAACCAAGGGAGCACAACAAAAATCAACACCTGAAAAAATTCCAAGTCGTTAGGTCACTCACTTCGCGAGATTCCATGAACATTTTTCCTAGTTTCGGATCACGCATGCAAGTACACATACGAACGTCATGAACTCAACTACACGTGCGTAATAGATTTGTACATGATGTAATGAGTTTGTCAACTTTGTGGCATGGGGGAATATGTGGTCGACGGTTCGCTGAGCAGCAAAGTCAAGTCAAAATTTATGCAGACTATCCATTTTAGTGCACTGAAATTCTAATATATAAACTAATTCCCTTTAAAATAAGACATGCGTTACTAGAAAATATGCTTGTTACACTTTTTTGGCTGGGTTTACACTTGACTATAATTTTTATGTGTAAAGAAATTTTTGAAGTGATTCAGAACTGGCTAAACCGATCAAGAACTAGGAAAAGTGTTGTTGTCACTTTTGTTGATCCTGTATAAAGACAAAACTAAAAGCTTCAAATTTGAAAACATTTTTGTAGTAACTCCTGCATACATGCACAAGGTAGACCTCTGATCCCATTTCATTGGAAATTGAAGATAGTTGAGCTGTAATATGACTGAATATAGTTTTTGCGATCCGGAAAAAGGAAAATGACTAAATATAGACATGGCTGTGGCTGCTGCGTTGTTCATTCCAACAATTCAACCATGGTGCACGATTCAACCGGATGTACGTGTACCACGGTGCACAATTTGACCGGACGTACCACGGTGCACCTGCCCCAACAAGTACAGTCGTGCAACATCAAGGTTAGGATGTCAATCTTTTTTGTGGTCATTTCTTGTGATCTTTTTTCTGTACACGGTGCTGAAATGTCTAAAATGCCGGGACTGAAATGCAACGCAACAAATGTGTTGCCGAAAACAGGTGCTTGCCCATCAGGCTGGCAGCCTGGAACATTTGGTTGTCTGACAAAATATTGGTTGTCCCGGGACGTCGGACTACCGATTCTGTGAGCCCTGGAAATAACTAACTTTGATTAGATGAGCATTTAGGAAGTATTGAGCACAATCTGATAATGGTTGAATGTAGCCCAGCACAGTACATACATTTCCTGTTCAGAAGTTCGCAAGTAACACACCCACAAATAATTTATTTTTGAGTGAATATGCATGAAGCTAAATTCCGGGATTGGTCAGATGGTAAATGGTAGAACGTATTTGGCTAATTGGTTACCAACCTGGCTGTGGCTTTCAAGTACAAGTAACCGGAGGAGCCACCGGTACCCGGCCTGCCACCAATCATCCTCTGCACCAGCTGGACATGATTCACTGAATAAAGCAGAACAGAATTGCAACTAGCAAAAGCATCGCACAAATCTCTTACTGTCAGTTTTTTACTGGTCAATCTGAAAGTTCGAGATATTCCACAGTTATGATGAATGTGTGTAATGTTGAAGGTGATCACTTCCAGATGTCAGAGTTGAGAAACATACAAACTTAAAAGCACAGGATGTTTTAATCTTCAGACTTGCTGAGAGTTTAAACAGAATTCCACAAAGTACATTTTTGTATTAAATTTTGTTTGGTCAAATGTTTGGAGCATGGGAAATCAAGGTACTCAAATTTGGAATCTTGCTCCTCTAAGTTACTAACCCCTGGAAATAATACACAACTTTTGGTTTCTATGTTTAATAATACCATATATGATGTACACATCTTCACACAACAATCTTAACCTCAAGTTTAACCTCTGTGTGTGCTAGACAGTCAATGGGGAAAAACACGTGTGCATGTTGCTGTCGCTGAAGAGTGCAGACTGCAAACAGATTCTCCTCTGAAAACTTCCAGAATCCCCAGGAGGCAGGGCAGGCCAAAGCCAAGGGCTTCATCAAATGCCACTTTAATGCAGCCAACCAACGACTGAGAAAATATGGGCATGGACTGCCTAAGGTGGCAAGCTGTGACAAAGATGGCATCTAAACTGCAACTGGGAATACCAAGCAGCAAAATGCCAAAGCCAGACGCTGACGTCACAAAGCAGTAATGACACAAGTGACCCCCTGTGCTCCCCGACAGGGGCCAATTTCATAGAGCTGCTTAAACACAAAATTTGCTTAAGCATAAAAAACCTTGCTTGACAAATCTGGTTACCAACCAAAACTCCATGTGATGTAAATTGTTTTGGAATGGTATTCATCTGTCTTTTGGTTAGCATAACAATCACATATTTTGAGCTGGTAACCTTTGTTGTCAAGATTTTCTCGCTTAAGCAAATTCTGTGCTTAAGCAGCTCTATGAAATTGGCCCCTGTTCAATGAGGGAGATCTGCCACACCCATGTACATTACATCCTGCAACCGATTTGCTTGAATACAATGCCTGCTAAATTGAGTTACTCACGTCGCCATTTCATCAGGAGGGAGTCTAGATCCATCAGCAGGGTCAGAAACTGAAATGGCTGGCTGAAACGAGACTCCTCACGATACAGGGATATCAAGAGTGCACCCTGGAGTGCCTTGTGGGAGAACCGTCTGTCTCCTAAATAAACACAAAACACAAATTAGAAGCTTGCCCCTCCCCCCCTGAAAAAAATTGACAGTGGCACATTTCTGGTTGAAATGTGGAGAAGATTAAATAATCTATACACTGTGCTGTGTTTATTGGAGATTACATGTATGGTTCATCCCACTAATGAAACTATGACCAACATGTGCAATATTTTGGGGCAAATCTAATGAGGAAATAACTGGGCAACATTTGCCTGATTTGAACACGAGTTCTCAGTAGTGTCTCCCACTGCTCATGATATTGAGACTGACACCTTGATCTTTCAGCACATACTACAGAGAGTTTGAAACTCAACACAAAATAATGTACATGTATCCACAGCAAAGTACCCAAAGATAACAAAGACTCTCATGAGAAAATGAGCCCACAAGTACCTTTACTAAGGAAGGAAATCTAGCCATGCTAAGCACAACATTTTGGCTTTATCTAAATATTGAGAGCAATACGTGTGTTTCAGTAAGAAAGCCCTAGGAGGAACAAATTCTACAAATCTCTACCCGTAAACTGTGTTGAGGACTCAATGTACATTTGTAACCACACAGGTTTTGAGTTGAGCAGGACTCACCCCTGCTCAACATAGCTTTATGCTTTTCGACATCAAAGACAGATGAAAAGCTCTCCTTGGCTATGTTGTGCTCCTGCATCATGGCTTCTTTTTCATGTCCATCCTCAATCTCCTGGTGGGCAGAATGGAAAACAATGCAGGCGATTCACAACACAGCGCCATCAAGAGGTTGCTACAGAAGGGCCACTCTTTGCAGTGCATTGTGGGAAACAGTCAACAAATTCTAATTCGCTGGCTACCCGCAGGGAACCTGACTTATTTCCCATTTTTGTCAGAGAAGGAGATTTCTAAGTGTGTTTGAGTTGCGGTTTAAATCAATCTTTCCTTATTTCTAGTGACAGCATGGAATGTCCCCATCAATCAAAAATTTTCCCTAGTTGTCTACATATAATATGCATGTTCAAATGCAACTCGCAACAACTGGCAGTCATGTTTCTACAAACCATTAACTTGGAAAATGGCCACTCTGTGGCAACTTCTTGGTGGTACATTGTATTCCGCGTTGCCTGTTTTGGCCTTAATCACAAGTCGGCCATATTGAATTGAAATCAAGGTCAACTGTACAGCAAATACAAATGAAAGCACTCAAATGAAACTTCTTGATCGTACCACCCCAGAACACTGCTCCTCGGAGAAAATAACAGGAATTCTGCATAAAGTAGACACGAAAACCCAGTAATTTCTGCCCCCACCCACCTCCTAATTACTTCACTTGCATGCCAAGACATTAGAAAGTCAGCCAACACAGCTGTAATGTTGTTTAGAATTTCTGATGCAAGGTAAATTGAATGTATACACCCTCATTACAGCCATAGAAAACCAGTTTACAAGTCAAGCTTTGGCTGAATGGCAGCGTATCATATAACAGACATAATTTCATGGAAAGTTTTCCTGTCTTTAGAGTGAGGGTTTTGTCAAAAGACGTTTGGTCCATATGCGAAAACTCCAGTGCCAGATAATGTGAAATAAAAACCTAGCAGGGTATTTTGAAGACACAATACATGTATCACGCGACATGGAGGCGTGAAACCGCTGAGAAACTGCAAGAAATTCTAACCTCAATATCCTTCAGGATGTCCCTCATCATCTCATTCGCGGCAGCCTCAAACTTTGCCCAGAAGTTGAAGCCGCTGGTCTCCAGGCCAGGTGTTCTCTCCAGCCATTGCTGTGGATTTTTTTTAAAATAGGTATATACAAAATGCTGGTCATACGCAATCACCGTGATGATAGGACTGCGACTGTCAGTCAGGTCCTGATGCTTTGGACCAAACAAATCATTCCCTTGTGGTTTAATTGCTACTTTGCACCTGAAACAACCTTTCAAAAACAAGATTGTGGACCATTTTATTTTCAATGAATTCCTTGTTAATAAATAGGCCTACATGTACGTACCGAATGACAGCAATCTTCATTTACAGCAATCTACACATGCACTTTCCTATGAAACCAGTGGAGGGGCCCACAGTCCACTGAACACCATAGGAAAGCAAATTAGTATAACAAAGAGTGGCGTCATCCGTGCAAACCCAAAACATGCTAACATCAGTATAGTACAAAGGAAAAAACAATCACATGTACATGTATTTCATATTAGACACACGTACATGGGTTATTCTTTATCTTTGTGGTATATCCACATTTACGTTGTTAAGTGTCCCTGTCACTTTTGACAGATGATTTGCAAGTTTAAAACACATTCTTTAATTTCCAAGAGTGTTTACGGGATAAAGCAAATTATCCACTAAACAAATAAATACAGTTTGAAGTCCATATCAAATTTCAGTTCAGGTGTAACAGGGACACCACAAATGCCCCACGTGTATAGGCTTCAGTCTGAAGTGTAAAACACGCTGGGGAAATTTTGATCTGAAAACCTGTAATGAATCTCATTTCTGAGCAAGCCATTTGTGATCTTATTCACTGAATCTGTTTTACATATTGTTAACTGTTGAATGGGATGGTACCAAACTATTCTAAAATTCATGTGGATTCCAAGCCTCCCTTTAAATTCTGTCCAAATTTGGCATCAAACACTAAAATTTTGATTGATCACAAACATGAAATAATTCATCAGACTAGAGATAGGTTCTAGTTTGACTAGAAATTTCATGTCATTCTTTCATTGATGCATTCAAGTTCCAAAAAATAGGACTTTATAGCACTTTCAATTTAAATATGGCCAACTCATGAATAAGGTCCATTTCTCTCTCTTTAGGTCCCTTTACACTAGAGCCTGTTACACTGTTAGAGCCTTGCGTCTCAGCTCAAAACCCTGCTCCTTACTCAAGCCCCAACTGAGCATTCATTACACAACCTTAAATGAAATGTACTTTTTACCTGAACAATAGACAGAAGTGAGGGGTCAACCTCCGCTCGTTTGATCTCTGCCAGAAGTTCACCCTTGTGGGCGTGCTCGTAGTTCCTCTTTGAGTATTTCACACGCCACTCCTGTGCCAGAAATGGAGCACCAATTTAACAACCTGAAACCTTGCCAAGATGTTCCTTGAAACATCTCCCAGTTAATTATACCAAAGGTTTTATTTCCAAGCCTGCACCCAACTCCATTACAATTAAGGTTATAAATGGCAACCTCTAATGAACATCATATTTAGATTGTTTGGTTTTGTTTTCAACTAAACAGCAATTATCTATACAACTGTAATCATGCAGAAAATTGAAGTTGCCAGCTCAGCTAATAAAACTAAATAAAATGTGCATGATTGAGCAAAGTATTTAGAGGACAATCTCCACAGACTTGAGTTTAATACGGCAGTTTTTGTCCATCATATCACATGCATCAATGCTTTTTACAAACAACATTTGGTTGATTAAAGGCATTCTGCTCAAAAGGACTCTTCCACTTGAGAACACTCAGGAAGTAAAGTTCCCTCATAGCAAGAGGGACGGGCTTAATTCATCCCATCCAGGGTTTCATCTAGGATTTCTTAACAGCCCATCCTCCATGGTACAGTTCAAAAGTACTGGTACCCAATTTCCAGTCCGAAAATGACATTCTATGGCCACATACATGCAATATGATGGAAAGAGTAGGCTGGTTCCCAAACCAGCAAACAGCAATACAGTAAGCTGTGTAACCTGTACACTGGTATCCACAATTCTGTGCACACAATACACAAAGTGGTAGTGGGAACCAGCGACACTGTGACCACCAAACGTGTAATGCACACATATACTGTGCCTGTGTGAAATGTATGCATGCCAATGACTCGGCATGGATCGGCATGGTCAGTCAGTCAATCGCTCATGTTTTTTAAGAACCATTTTATTGTTTTTTATTGTAGTTTGCGTACAATTCAGTCGCTTCAACTACGCAAAACTTTTTACCAAAAATCTACCTGCCATTTTTACTGTTGATGTTCCATATTTCTACGTGTTCTATTTCAATGTCCATTTCGCAATGCGCCAGTGCAAGATCATTCACAATGAATCAAAAGACAGATGGATAAGTCACAAGATGAAATCCTGTTCTCATCTCAGGTGGAAAGTTCCCACAAACTTGACCAAAGAAAGGCAAGTTCCAAGTCCAACGACATTCCTAAGATACAGGCAGAAGTATCTCAACCATTCACTTTCTTTACAACGCTGAGTAATGATGATTTTCCAGACTTTACGACACCGCTTTCATGAAAAAAGATGCAGGTAAAATATACCACAGTGATGCTAGATTAAAAACATGCATAAATCCTCAACAGTTGAAGAAAATCAAATCAACAAATTAGACTTTATTATTGAAAATCAATCCACAGGAACAACAATTTTTTGCTTCAATGTCTCAGAATTACACTTACTGGTTTTATTCCAAGCCTGTTTTCAAGGACCCGGAACTGTTGACTCTCAAAGCCTGAGGCTGGGGCCAGGTAGGTGCGGAACTCCAGGAAGTCCATGGGTGTCATGGTTTCCAAGACATGAATCTGTTCCACCACCACCTTAATGAAAAGAAGAAGACTTGAGGGTTCATTCCCAGGCCACTAAGGTGTGAATTGGATGCTGTAACACGACATGGCTTATATTCCTATCAAGATAAAGATCAATGCAATGATTTTTTTCTTACACTGTTCTGTGCACGGGTGTCACTGTGTCTCTCTCTTCTCTTCAATGGATAAAAACTGTTTGAAATCTTTTTGGAGTTAAGCGTACTGAAAAGTACACTTTAAAATGTTACAATTGTCTAAACTTTTCTGGACAAGTGAGGGTGCTGTTGCTGTGATATAAATCAAAGAAAACACCGTGCATCTTACAGGTTTTATGTTCAAGTTAATATTGACGACAAATTTTGCTCTTTTACAAAAACATTTGTAAAACGAAAGAGCTGCTCACTGGCTTATTGCTATATACTTACACAACAATAATTGTGAAAGGAAAGGAAATTTACGACCAAAAAATGTAACAAATTCCATGACTTTTGTGCACAAATCAATGCAAAATTGAGATTCAGTGCCTGGGATGACATCACAGTTTTGCTCATGTATACATGCAAATTTGCATTAGCATTAAAACAAAAAGGCTCAAAAATACAGATTAGGTTAGCAAAATGGATACTGAAAAGAAGGTTAATTAGAACACTGAGGTGTAATTTCAAGGGCTGTAATTAGGCTGGATATAACATACAAATCTTTGGAAAATGACTACAGCCACTTACTAATGGCTTCCATTAGGGCATGCACATCTTCAAGTCATTATTACATGTACGACACTGCCATGCACCCTAAAGTTCTGACCATGGCTGGAAAGGGAAGGCTTGGACTACCACAAGAATGGATCAAGGTGATGACAGCCTTGATGTGGAAGATCTTACCTTCATGATGGTCACAACACGACCCATGCGTTGGTTAATGACGAGTTGCTTCCTCTCATCAAACGGCACTTGGCTGAGCAGACTGCGGACGGAGTCGATCTCGTACAGAATCTGTTTGAACCACAGCTCATAAACTGCATTGTGCAGGACCGAAAAATGAATTCATGCAATGAAAAATGTGAAACATGGACATTCTCAAATAAGCAAAATTGAAAACAAAAATGTTTTATAATTGGTATACATGTAGCTGTTCAAGGTTTGATCTTCTCTGCATTCTTTGGTTGATTTTTTTCCAATATTTCTAATTTTGCATTTCTACTGGAAAATTAAACAATAAATTCCTTTACTGTATTTTCAAATTTGTTTAAAACAGGCTTTGTTATTCTTGTTATACGACAAAAATTCAGGGAACGGAACTTAACGATAAAAACCCTGAACAATGACGTACAAGTCTTTGTTAACTGAATAATGAGAACAGAAAAGAAAAAATGAAAGGCAACAGTAAAGCCAGTGATTAATGAAATGCAAACCTGTTTCAATGCACCCAAAAAAGAGGCATCTTTGCCAAGAAGTCAGTCCAGTGAGAAACACTTCTACATGTATGTGTATGTCTGACTTTACAAAAAAGCTTGTACAGTCATTTCAGGCTAATTATTCAGGCCAAACAGACATTGTAGGTTGAAAATTTTCTTGTGGTTGAACAAGATTGCATGATTTACAATATGGAACATAGAAACAAACAGATTGGATCTTTTCTTTCAAAAAAATTAAAGACAGCTTGCTTTCAAAATCCTGGCAGAGTACATGAATGAATGATCCACTGTGGCTTTTAAGCACTTACCCTGGTGTATGACAATAAACAAGTGTTCATCATGAACTTTGCAACCCTGTCGCTCCGACTCCAGCTGCTGCGAGCTCAGCACTTTCTCCAGCTGCAGGTACTTGTGGTAATGCAGGGCAGGGTTGTCCTCCTTGCTGGGGCCTGCTGCCCTTTGGATGGCATCACCGCCTCCGCCATCACACCCATCACTGCCGTTGTTACTGCTGGAGATAGTATCTTCACGTCTGTCAAACCAGCAATGCAAAAAGCACCCCATAAGAGTAAATGGTGAGGAATAAGAGCGTTCCACCCTCCAATGTAAAACAAATGGGCAGTATAATACAGCATGAAATAAACTGCATGGTTCCTGCCCCCATTTCATACACACTGTAATTTATTCCCAGTAAGAAAGAGGAAAATAATACAGGGACAGGAACCATTCTAGCATTGAACAGCACTGCCAGTGGATGGCGCTTCTTGCACAATCTGTTATGCTCCGCAAATAGCAATTTTTTTTTGCAAGCATAAATGCAAATAGACTGTTTTATTCTACCGCAAGTTAATTTGTTTATCAATTGAGACTTGGAAGTTGCATGCAAACGTAATGTCCGTGAAGATGGAATTGCCAACATGTAAATCACTCTACCATCATAAGAGTATAAACTTCCATTCAAAACAAAATTACTGGTGAAGTACATGTAGATCTATGAGACCACTGCCACACACATTTCCTTACAGACAAATCCAATCCTTTCCCCACAACCATTTAGTCCTTATTTCTAACCATCAAATCTGTACACGTCATCACTGCCCTTAACAGGACTTGTATTTGCTACTGAGTCCTTCATAACTGTTGCCACACAAAACTGAATGGTTTCAAGAAGTACATGTATTCAACTATGCATAAAGACTGACATTGTATTTTTACAAAATGGACACAACCTTGACCTGCAATTTTGTTTAACCCTACTGACCCAAAACCTGCCATACTCTAACGGCAGGTTTTGTGAGGTTTTGACAGGTTTAGTACTGTACTTGAGGAACTTGTTGAATTTTGTGTGACTTGGGGTGAAAGGCCCAGGGAGATGGTGTTGGATTCTGTGAGTTTGGACACAAACAGGTCACTGTGTGCAGTGTCTGGCTTGCTGCACCGTTTGTTGGACTA